CGAAACGTCAGTTTTCCCGCTCCTCTGATGCTGCTTGGCCTGCTGTGTTCATCCAGCTCCACACCCTGTTATCTCAGCAAGGTTGATGATTGTTAGATGAATGAGACTTGTTTTGGGATACAATGTTTGCAGCAGCATTTTTTTTTAAATTAGCTGAAGTTTATAAGGCAGTGCAGGGTCAGAGGTAGCCAAGACATCAATGGAATATTCTGTGCAGGGGCCTGGTTGAGAATCTCAAGCAGTATTCTGTGAAAGAGATGTGAGTGATATTCTGGAGGGAAAAATTGCTCTTAGTTTGGGGATGGAGGCTTTAGATGCTCAGCTGGCATTGAAGAAGGAACAAGGTCTGCTTTAAGTTGAGACAGTGACCAGAGCTTGGGCATTGATGGCATTGCAGTTTGTGGAAAGTGAAGATGATGGCTTTAATCTTCCCAATGTTTAACTGGACGAATTGTGGCTCGCCCAAGACTGGACATTAGACAAGCAGCCTAACAGCATAAGGAGAGCAGAGAGGTCAAGAGAAGTTGTATTGTCAAGGGCATCACAGGAACTCAAGTATTAGGAACAGGACAAAGCCACTCACCCTCTTGAGTCTGTTCCACCAAGGGCCAGTCTGTAGGTGAGGGAACAGAGGGAATCAAAGACACTTTCTTCAGGAAATAATTTAAGGGTGAGAAGAAAAACTGAGGTTGAAGGGTAAGAATTGAAGCTGCACAATGGAGAAGTATTGGGGTAGGACAGTGTGGCTGACTCTCAAAGGCTGCATCAACTCAAAGAAATGAGGAGGGAAAGGGCCCCACTATCAGTCACACAGGATGGCGAAGATTCATACATTGAGCTGCAGAAAGGCTGGGCATGTATTCGGGAGGTGATAACCTGTGTTGTAAGAGGTTAGTGCGAATCAGTCTGACGTGAAAACATGGTGAACACTGTAAGAAAGAGTCTGAGATGGGGACTGTTAGAGACACAGCTCTCTGTTTTACACTACTGTAGTGCGAATAAAGAGTTGGAACGATTTTACCTTACCATATCTACGTCCATATTACCGATAGTGTATGGCAAATAAGGTCAAGCAACCAGTTCAATTTCATAGCGGAGAAGGACAAACAGAGCTTTAGAGTAATGACAGAACAGACCATGGTGGCCCCTCCATTCCATGTCAACCCCGTCTCAAACCAACACCAGGAACTGAACTCTTTATTCCAGGCACACAGTCTACAGTTGTGTAGATTGGAAAATCTTAGGAATGTCATGGATTCAGCACAGCCCAGTGTTACAGTAGCACAGAGTGCCTGAAAAATTCTGTAGAAACTGGTGGTTTAATGCTTTAGACTCTCTAACTGCACCAAGCACCTCCACTCAATTGGAAACGTTTACAGGAACTATTTGTTTGCTGCACAAAGCTCTGTTCAGTTTTGTGCCCTTGGTGAAAGGAGATGGTGTAAGTTCTGCTCTTCTCGGCCACTGAACAGGTGTAGGCAGTTACAAAACCCACCCATTCAGAACATCATGAAAGGCACTGCCCCAAGGTCTGCAGCCATTAATGCAAAGGCGAAAATTACCCCCAGTGTCACAGAAAGAAGCGATGGCCAAATCTGACCATCCTCCCACGGCATAACACAGAAACATAGAAAACAGAAGTAGGACCTCAACATGAAGGGATTATCTACATGACGGGGAAGTTGGATATAAAAGTTCACCGGGGTCTAGATCTGAGGAGAAATATATTACCACAGCATTAATTCCAAATTAAAGGCACTAGACTTTTCTGACGTTATAGATTGTAAAATCCCTCAACCTAAACCAGTTTTGTCACAATTGTAGAATTGTGTCCTGCCTGTATTTAATCATCGCTGTCTTATTTAGTGATTAACCAGAACTGACAAGCACATGTGAAATTAGGTGTGGCTGTTTTAAGCACTGAATCTTTTGCCCCTTTTTGATTTTGCACAAACCAGCATATTTTAAAATTATTTACCGAAGCACCACGTAGATTTAAGAATTGTCAGCACACTAACCTTTCTGTGGCCTATTCTGTTCCTCCCACTCCCCACAATTTTAACACCCTTTTTAGGTTGCTGTAACAAATGACTCTCTGGATCCACTGTGTATGGAGTCCAAGGAAAATTTGCAGGTACAGACTAATGAACCTTCATTCTTGAATGTGTCTGTGCCGCTTGTGTCTGTTGTGCAACCGTCTGTGGTCCTAGTGCCTGCCTCACCAAACGCACCAACCAAACATAGTGTCCACATTCAACAACACCACCGTAACCAATGCAACATCACTAACTTTGTGACAACGTCACCACGTCATATTCGGAACCCTTTCAGGGAACTCCCTAACTCAGCGGACCAGGAAGTCTCTCAAATCAACAGTGGCAGCAAGAGAGCTTCCAAACCTCCCATGTGCCCTACACTGCCCATGAAAATGTGCAGCAGCACAGGAAACCTCACCATGAAAGACGTCAAAAAATTCTACAGCGTGGATACTCAAGGGTTCTTGGCCAAGCCCACATCGTGGTTGGATGACCCTCGGAGACATTCAATTGAGATCTGCTCGTCCGTTGGCACAGCTCCACAGCACCAGTTCTCTGTGGCGTCCTGTTGGGCCATTGGCCAGGCAGTGACAGAACTGGACAGTCAGAAAATAGCACGGCCGAAGCAGAAAATGAGCCCCCCGTGCATTTCTATAGAGCCGCCAGAGGACCACCACACGATGACACAAGGCACTCATGGGCAAGCATCATCTAGTGACATGTGTTTGAGAAGGCGTGCCCCATCCTGTGACTCAGCCCCTCACAAGGAGTCCATAGACCTTGTAGACCCACTGCCTCCTGAAGGCACTCACACCTCTCCCTCTCCAGCGAAGGATTTGCTAACTCTTTCCAGTTTTTCCTTGGATCAGACCGAGGAGGACCACTGAACTGAATTGTTGAATTGTTTTTTTTTGTTGCCAAAAAAAAGACAAAAACTCTTTTTTTCATCCTTTCCTGACATTAATGAAGAATTCTGCATTCTGACTGGCACTGGAGGTCAAAACCCCGCCAATCACCCTCTCCACCATCCAGACAGTAACAAGGGTTACTGCAGCCCTTGCAATGCTGCCCTGCCTTGCACTCAAGCAGGTGACCGACTGACCATTCACCCAGATAGTTCTGCACAGTGGAGCGTCACTTTTGTTTTAATGTGAAAGGTGTTTCCCCTTTTGAAATTGGGAGGTAAACTGCCGAGCGGTAGTACTGGAACATTCCAGGATTCACTTTGTAACTCAGTTTGAGGCAACAAGGGAGGGGCAATAAATGCCAGCCTTGCCAGTGATGTCCCCATCCCCAGAATTATTATTTTTCTAAACATTGTTAATTGACATCCATTTTATCAGATTTCAATTCAGTTGGCCTGGGCATTTTCCTTCCTCTCTGAAAAGGCACAAAGCAAAGATCCAGCCATTAATATATTTAGAAGAAGAGAAAAAGTAATATTTATAAATAAAATAAATTGCAATATTTACTCAATCTGTGTGGTTAACTGAAATTTTTGGTTGCCTGGCATCAAAAAATGGCACTCCACTGTAACCATGACTCTGAGAGGTCATCTCAATCTTGAAAGTTAGCATAACCAAGATGTGATTTTAATACTGTACCAGTTGTTTGGGTTACATCCTGTTGCAGGGTTTTGCTGTTTCTGATGTGCATTTCCTCACCTGCTGTCTTTACTTATTTATTTATCAATTAGTTTGCTCCTCAGGACATTGGTCGAACTATAAACACTCACATCAGTTAGGTTTGGTGTGACTTGGGCCATTTTCAATAGCCTTTTGTTAAAAAAAATTCCAAACCACCCATGATGTCTGCAGGATAGTTGCGGAGAAATCACTCTGCAAAGCTAGTGGATGCTCAAGCAGTTATAGAAGGTGGTTCACTCCCGTTCATGTCCACTTTGTTGTGAAGTAAGATATATCAGTCACGGGAGACCCTGGATGGTGCCATAACATTTCCACGGATTGATAACAACTGGAAGTTGTGTGTTAGATAGATTGAAAGATTCTGTTAATCATTGCCACAACCCAAAAGCAAAGGTTCTTTCTCATAAGTTTCAAATGAATCAGTAAATTTCCTGAACAGGCATATTCTATACATTGAGAAAGGTATCTCCAATTGCCATGCATCATTATACTTTGCTGCCTTCCATGTCCAAGGTTGTTATGCCAAACAGAAATAAAGTGATGGGAGATGGCTTGGAAATTAACGTGTAGAGTCCCAAAGCTTTGCTGATGTTGACCATGGCCTTTTCAAAATCTTCATTACATTTTTTTTGGAAAATAAAAGATGATTTCTTGAATTCAACCTTCCACTCATTTTATTAGGCATGGGATAGTTTGATACTGTTGTAGGAAGGGGCATCTCTTTCAGGCAACCTTTCCTACATTTCTCCAGAGATGATGGAATTCTCCATCGCCAATACCAAATCAGATGTTTATTCATTGCTTTCTGTAATAGAAAAGTGGACCAATGATTAATTCCAAAAAGGAAATCAATATTTTTGATGAAGGCCTTTTTTTTCCTCACCCATCTGAAGATAGCCTCCAATGATTCCTGTTGTTTTAGTTAGAGATCTATATAGTGGCAGATGTATGGTCGTTAAGAGTGAATCTCTCAGAGAAATGCCTTCCTGAGTAATTCCCCACAGCAATATCATTTACATTGCCCATGCCCTGCAGAAAGCTTAAGGAGCTGATGCCATCAGAGACAGTCAGGTAAAGGTTTATTTTATGTGGTGGGACCAGGGGAATAGAAACCTAAAGGCCCTTATAACCCAGGCTGCCAGAGTCACCCAGACTGCACCTTGTGGAACGAGCTGGCAAGGCCTACGTTTTGGGTCATCTCACCAAAAACAGCCAGGGTTATATTGAAAAAGCAGCAATATTTTGTAGGAATGTTAACAAATTCTGATATTCCAGATGGCAAACAGCAGAGTGTTCTACTGATGTCCAATGTAAGGAGCAGTGTTTTAAGCCGCTCAAATTCCCAGTCACGGGCTTTCCAGTGCTACACGTGTGCAAGATCTTTGTTCGAGAGCATTCTACATTGTACCCTCGTAGCTCAATCACATTGATTCGGTTAGTTCAAAGCACACCAGCACTTTAACATTGCAGATTACTGTATGCAGACAGTCTGAGCATTACAGTGATCTTGACCATTGCTAGTTTGTGTGTGTGTGAATGGGTGAGTGTGTGTATGTGAGTAAGCGTGGAAATGTTTGTCAGAATACTGTAGGTTATCCATCTACAGCCATTGCACATACTTTATAGGACCACTCTTGTTAAGATCTTACCAGCTAGAAATTATGTTTATTTAAATGTAAGTATTTGTAACACATTCTTTGGGCTTGAGTGGAAGTCACTCCTGCACAAGAGAAAAATTGTTGACAATGTAAAACGTCAAAGGTTTAAAAATAGCCACTGCTGCAACCTATTTCTTCCTATCCAGCTATCTTCCATATAGACTACATTGCAGAGAAAATACTGATCAAAATAGACACAGTGCAGTGCAATGTTAATATTTATGTAGTATATATTATAGAGAAATTGTATTTAATAGTTGTCAAATTCTATGCTGTATTCAGGTATTTTTTTGGACCATATAGTGGGTCTGTGTGATCAGGGCATCAAAACTAGTGGCTCTTCAATAAGAAACTAAATTAAGATAAATGGATTCTTATAGGGCAGAAGTTCTTCTGAGTTAAGGATCACTTAAACATCCAAAAAACATTACGTATGCAATTTTGTTGATCTCATTATTGCTTTCGAATAATTGTCCTTTCCCGAGACCAGGCACTGAGGATTTGCCGTTAATACTGAAGACCTGGATAGATTACAAAAACAGTTAATCTTTTAAAGTTCAACATAAGTTATCAGAATCTGTTGCCTGCTATTCATAGCTACTTGAAAAGTGATTTTCTGTCAATTTATTTCAATCAATACACAACTAAAATGTTTCATTTTAACTTAAGAGTGTAAGACTGAATTGCCAGGCCACCAAGAGACTGGTAGTAAGTCCCCTGCTGCCCAAGAGCAAATAAAGAGAAACTATTTTTTTGGTGGGAGAGTCTGGAACAAAGTCCTGCAAAATCTGGAACACACTCTCCTAAAAAAATAGCTCTTGAAGCTTCTTGTTGGGCAAGAGTATTACAAGGTACAGAACCAAGGTGGGCAAATGGGGTTACGATACATATCTAACATGATCACAAATAATGACAGATTAGTTTCTAGAGGGCAACACTTCTGTTCCCCCAACACCCCCACCCCCACCACCCTGCCAACCCCATGAGTTCCTAATGTGATCCTTTTGGAAGAATAGCAAAAAAAAATCAAATGTAAGGACCTCAGAGGGAGATAAATGGTGACTTATTCATCAACATTTTACTTAGCTGAATCATCATTCACTCAATCCAGCCCAGCCCTCCAATGATTATTCCAATTGTTATTACTTAAGTTGGCTGAAGACTTTGTTTCACCTAAATACTTCATACAGAATACTTCACATAAAAATATAGCAGGTCCCTGAAATCGTAAAAGCTTCATTTTTGATGTAGCTCACCACTCACAGTTCAAGAAGTAGGAATGTTACAGGCTTGAAGCAGCACAGGGCCTCCACACTCAAAGCATGTAAACTCCTTTCATGTGCTCCATTCAACACTTCCATGGTTAAAAATAACTGTTTTGTAAAATCATCCTTTTTTAAAGAGAAATTGAGGAAAAGTAGTTGGCATAACTCCGAAGTGTTACTACCTGACAGTTGCTGACAATTGGCTTTACTTTTACACAAACAGTTCTATAAAAATGTACACTCTGAGATGGCTCCCACTAAAAGTAGTGTGAAGAATCTCCTGACCTTTTTTTTCTTTTTATAGATACATGTTAATAGATTTTGCCAAAGATAGACCTACATTTGAATAAAGTCCACTGCAAAAATCACTGTTGGTTTTAACAGATAGATGGATGAATTAATGAATGAGTGAGTGAATGATTACTTTAAAAGCTGTCAAATTTTTTTTCCATTAACAACAAAAAAAATGTTGCTGGAAAAGCTCAGCAAGTCTGGCAGCATCTGTGGAGGAGTAAACAGAGTTAACGTTTCGGGTCCGGTGACCCTTCCTCAGAACCCCGGACCCGAAACGTTAACTCTGTTTTCTCCTCCACAGATGCTGCCAGACCTGCTGAGCTTTTCCAGCAACTTTGTTTTTGTTCCTGATTTACAGCATCCGCAGTTCTTTTGGTTTTTCTTTTCCATTAAACCTGCCCTTGAAAATATTACAGTTCTGCAACTGAAAACAGGAACAAGATTTTGAGCAGCCCTATACGGATTTTTTAAACATTGTTTTGTTCATTACTAAAACACTCACAGAAAAAGATTTGTTTTTTTCTAATCCTTTAAAAATTTATACCAAGGGAAAGGCTGAAAAGGACAAGCAAAGAAACCAAATCTGGGGAAGATTCTTGCTGTCAGATTTGTACATCTGTTTAAAAAAAATCTTTTGAAAATTATTGAAGCTGCAAAGAGACTATTTTTGCAAAAAAACAATTGAAAAAAAATGAAAAAGTTACTTCATGACAGAGCTGTTGTATTTTCCAAAAACAAAATGCTTCCATTTCACAGGAAGGTCATTCAGAAGTGTTAATTCTGGTTTCAGGCATCTGAATAATCAATGTTGTCATTGGGGGTTTCAAGTCAAATGCACACTGTATTAAAACTGAAAGTAATATTTTACCAAAAAGTGAGGAATGTGAATCGAGATGAATTGTATTCCGACGTCAGCCAGCAGGGATGAGATTTAGAATATTCCGCACTTCAGTTGTGCTCACAAGTCGTGTGATATCCAGGTCACACAGGGGTTTTACTTTTGAGAAGAACAGAATTTAAAATTAACAACAAAAGAAGTATTACCTTTCAAATTACAGTGTTATATTAGTCAAACATTACTTAGCTGGAGTTTATTGTGAATTCGATAACTATAACTAGTGACAGATTATTTAGCTCAGCACCACCACCACCACCATCCTCCCAAAATTGTCAAGATTCAGCAACATTTTTCTAATTGGTTTAAGTTTCCTTTATCAATTAAAATCTGTAAGAATCAATGTCACCAACCTCCTGTAAATTCTATTTCTGTACATGGAATAGTATCTAGTCTGATGTACATCTCTTTAGTCAAGTACATTCTGGAAAATTGAACATATTTAACAATATATATTTAGATATTTGTTGTTACCGAAATGAACTGAATCCTTTAATAGTCAATGTGCAATGTTTGGGATGAATCAATAAACACACTGATACAGAAGAAGGTATGTGTTGTATGATAGCCAACACAGGGTAGGTGTAAAATATCACTCCCTACTCCTCCTCTTCCTGCTGGCTTGTAAGCAAGAGTATTCTCCA